AAAAAAAAAAAAAATGCATTTTTAATCGGGATAGAAGTCAAACGAAGATAATTAGTTTGATGGAATCAATTACAAAGAAAAATAGGGCTTTCCCATGCAGGGAATATAAAACCACTTGATTTATATTAACTGCACGCCTCTAACATGTCTAAAAAAACAACAAAGCTCAGAAATGCGAGACAAACGGAGCTACATTAAAGCCCGCCCACCCCCCTTCACCCGGAGGTCGTTTTCATGAATTCTATCCCCTCTTCAGTATACATGAATCAATTCCGTTTTTTTTTCTTCTTCACTAGCATCACCGAGTGCTGATACATGTAGGTAACAACGAATTTATCATTATTTTTAAAATAAGTATGAGGATGATAAAAAGTAGGATTTGTTTTGGCAAATGATGGTTGTGGAGTGTTTTATTGTAGTGTTTTATTTTTGTCATTATTAGAATGATATAGCGATAATAAAAGTTTAATCCTGCTTACAAATGACCCTGCTTTAGAAAAGTTCACTGTGTTACGTTTTATTGCTTTATCCCCCCCCCCCCCAAATCACCAACTTCAAACAGATTTTTATTATTATCTTAACTCTACTCCTGTAGTATAATAAAATGATGGACTTGCGTGCACAGGCACGAATCCAGGACTTCTTAGGAAATTATGCGAGCCAAATATTAATAATAATAATAGCTAGTTCTTATATAGCGCTTTTCAGGACCGAAGGCCCTCTCAAAGCGCTTTACAGATATATATATTATTACCCCGGTCATCGGAGTCAGGCTTACCCGCACACAATGTATGCACATTCTCCACGCCCTGGGGAGCATTCCAGCCAGGCGTAATTTTGGTACGTAATGGTGACACCGACAGTGGTAAAAACGTTTGTGGGGGGGGGGGGTAGAAAAAAATCCCCATCACCCCACTCTTACATGCAGGCCCCGCTGAACGGTTCTCGGCGGGGGTCAAGGGTTGGAGCCCCCAGAAGCTCAGGAGTTTGGGGCAATACATTACGGTCAGATGAGTATATTTTGATACCTTATTTGTGACACTGGCAGGACAAATTAGTGTTGGGTCCAGGGGGCGTAGCCCCCAGAAGCTCAGGAGTTTTATACATTAAATTATCGTCAGATGAGCATATTTGTATACCTTATTTGTGACACTGGCAGGTCACGAATTGGCGTGTGGGGTCTAGGGGGCGGAGCCCCCGGAAGTTTAGGGGTGTAAAGCAATAAATTACGGTCAGATGAACCTCCAGGGGCCGCCTTAGAGCCATTGGTTGGGTTCATGGGGGGGGGGGGGGGGCAGAGCCCCGGAAGCTCAGGGCTTTAGGCATTTAATTACGTCAGATGAGCATAATTATACCTTATTTGTGACACTGCCGGGTCATTAATTGGCGTGGGGTTCAGGGGACAGAGCCCCCAGAAGCTCAGGGGTTTTAGGCATTTCATAACGGTCAGACAAGCATGCAGGGGCCTGCCTTAGGGCCGCTGGTGGGGGTCGAGGGGGTGGAGCCCCGGAAATTTAGGGGCTTTAGGCATTTAATTACGGTCAGATGAACATCTTTTGATACCTTATTTGTGACACTGGCAGGACACTAATTGGCCTGAGGTCCAGGGGACCGAGACCCCAGAAGCTCAGGGTTTTTAAGAATTAAATTACCGTCAGATTAGCATCCAGCCGTTCGCCTTAGGGCCCTAGGTGGGGTCCAGGGGCAGAGCCACCGGAAGTTAAGGGGTTTTAGGCATTTAATTACGGTCAGATGAGCATATTTTGATACCTTATTTGTGGCACTGAGTAGGTCACTAATTGGTGTGGGGTCCAGGGGGCAGAGCCCCCAGGAGCCCAGGGGTTTTAGGCATTAAATTCACCGTCAGATGAGCATTCAGGTGCCTGACTTTTGGCCCTAGGTGAAATCCGGGGGGCAGAGCCCCCGGAAGCTCAGAGGTTTTAAGGTATATAATCACGGTCAGATGAGCAAAAAGGAACACTTTTTTTAATTTACTTTTTGAAGCACAAAAAAAAAAAAATCTTCCCCCTTTTTGTTCCCCTTCTTTTTCTCCTCTTTTTCCACTCTTTTTTTGCCAGGGGGGAGGGGTGGGGATCCTCCACTGTGCGTGCAAGTTATGATTGGCTGTTTGTGCCGTTAGGAGAATGATAAAATGAGCAATTGAAGATTACTTTATTGACAATGCTGATAGAGTTCAGCATGTTATGTTTAAATGTTTCCTCAACTCCCATTACCCAGCGCTTGTGGATAAGAACAATAAATGATTATTTGAACTTCACTGCCAAAGTATGAGTATGCGAAAGTAGAAATGGTAGATGTTTGTATCATCACCAATATTATAACAAAGCAATTGATTCAAATAAACATTTCAAATAAACTTTTATTTTCTTCCATTCAATTTTACAACATATTTTTGACATCTGTTCAAACAATGTAATTTATCAGTAGGAACATAAATATAATTAAAGAATTTGTATTACAAGGAAGAAGGCCCGAAACCCGATACTTGAAGTGGGTACGCCCGAATACACCAATACAATTATACATTATAACGGGAAGAAAGAAAGAAAGGAAGAAAGGGATAGGCAAAGAGAAGAGGAGGATAGAGAGCTTGGATAAAGAAAAAAGAAGATTGTTTGACCAAACAGGTACCTAGATTTATCATATCTTTCACTTCAAGAGTATACGTTTTGTATTCATTTTAAAACTGAACTATGGAAAAGGTATCGTTTTGTTGAGAGTTTAGTTTCAAAACTAAGTTATAACATTAGTTTTCATCCGAAACTTATCAATTTAGGGGGAGGGAATGAACTTATTTGAAATCTACTGTCTTCGAGAAAAGAACAAAATAATCATACAAATAAACTGGTAAACATTTAAAACACAGCTTAAAACACCATAATATGCAAATCAAACAAAGGACGAAGATGTGCAGCTCTATGTTTAAGTTTTGAAATATACCTATAGATCGGTAAAAATCTGATATGGTATTATGTATATATACGTGAACTTCAAGAAATACATAAACAAAAATGTGTCAGGGATAAAGTGTAGTCAAATAGATTGCCAATTTGAAAGCAAACAATCATGTGCATCTTGGACGCCGTGAATCGTTGCACGTCGCCTTGAAGACATACCGTTACACGTTTGCCTGAACTAGGGATCTTGTCAATACATTAATTTGATTTCAGTTAATGGACTCCTCATCATAACAGCGATATTTAATCTTATATTCTGACTGTTTACTTTGTTTGAAACAAATACGACTGTTAAAGATAAGCATGAAATAGGGTTCTCGTAATTCCGAAATTGAAATAGGGTTCGTAATTCCGAAAATGAAATAGGGTTCATAATTCCGAAACTTAAAAAGGGTTCATAATTCCGAAACTTAAAAAGGGTTCATAATTCCGAAAATGATTATTTGTATTTGTAGACAGGTGGTCTTTGTAGACAGGTTCCATTAGTACATGTTTCAATGAGAAACCATTTTCAAGGAAACAAAAATTGTGGTCTTTGTAGACAGCTGGTCACTAAAGCAGGTTAGACCGTATATAAATATGGAGATGCAGTGTTATGTTTTTCCACATGTCTTAGGTGATGCCGCAGGGATTCGAACCAAGTACCTTGTGATTCACAGTCCGTAGACTTATCCGCTAGACCCCCTAAAATATCTTTGTGATATGTCCTATATTCTCTCTTGTTGTTTGTTGGAGGTGCTTCCCTATTTAATACGGAGTGATCGTCGTGGAGGCCTGCTATTGCTCATGTATATTAGAATGAATGGTAGTTTGTAGATTCATTTTTATAGTATTAAAACCTCCAATATTTGATGATTTAATGAAACTTTAATTCATCAACGAAATATCTTTATTTAAATGAGGATTTATACAAAATTCAACTAAAAGACAGGCAAAAAAAGGTCTTGTTGTCCAATTTCAATCGGTTATTACCTTGGTTTTCTTTCAAGTAACTAATAAGCCTATCCTAACAGTGCCTATATGATGACAAAATATCAACGATCATAATATAATAATCAGGGGATGATTAATTGTGTAAACATGGCAAAACACTCATTATATGTACGGAAGGAAATTGTTTGAATAGGGTGTGCCGTGCCTACGTGTGAGCACCTTGCAAATAAGATCCAGAACCAGGGTCACATGTGCAAAATGCCTGTACAAGGTTCACTTACACCCCATTCACAGTGGCCTCAAACACCGCGACAGCAGCGGGACTGTCCCGCTGCTGTCGCGGTGTTGTCTTCAGTGTGAAGGCTCGGACCCGTTATAAACTATCGCGGGATAACACCCCCTCGCGATAACGCCGCGACAAACTATCGCTAGGCTCGCCTAGCTACAGCAGCGGGACAGTCCCGCTGCTGTCGCGGTGTTTACTCAGTGTGAAGGCTCTCCGCTATAACACCGCGACAAACACGTGTGATTTGTTTACTTACCTATCACTGACCTCTTTTCTCCAGCAATGGGGAACATAAAGTGAAATAGAAATAAAGTAACCAGTGGATTCAAATTGATTTTATTATTATGTAGATTTATAATTATCCAAATAAAAATATTTCACACTTCAAAAAATTAAAATATTCTGACTGGAAGCAATAAAAATGCTAGTTTTTTAAAAAGTAATATGATCGAGGATACAAAAAGCAACTTGACATGTTTACCCTAAAACCCCGCGCTGAAGTATTTCCGGTCATATCGGGGTCACTCGCGGGTCATGAGCCATGCATACACGTGTTTGTTACGGAGGTAATAAAAATCACCCGCTGCAGCGTGAATGGGTACATGATATTTATCCCGCTGCTGCAGCGGGATAACTTTTCTACTGTGAATGCATTTGTAGCGGTGTTATGGCGGTGTCGCCGCTCCGCTACAACGCCGCTACAAATTTCAAAACCACTGTGAATGGGGTATTAGTGTGCAAATGGTACTTGACATTTTGAGAAGTCATTTAGATCGCACTACAGCATAGATTACGAAGGGGCTGACTGGTACGATCGCTTTTTAAATCCTACTGTTCACTGAACTTGAGCTGTTTTTGTCATCTAATTTCGGTAGGTATATGAACTTTTCATGAATGTAATTTGTGTGTTAAAAACCTCATCGTTTCTGAAGTTTGGTATTTTGATTTTTTTTTAATTGCGTTTTAGAGATATGCCTAAATTGCAAAATAATGGTTTTCATACTCGTATGTGTACACTGTGAACAATTTGGAAGGTTATAATATGTCCCACATCAACTTGGGTAAAATGGTAACTATTAGGGCTTAACCAAGTCGGGGGAAAAGTTGACAAAATTTGGTCGGACACATCATTACCCAAAGTTGGGCGTAAAGTTTACAATTAAAAAAGAAAATTATTTTGATTCATTTTAACTGCAAATTAATTGACTAAAATAAATTAAGCAACGTTTACATAGTGCTATTTCGTTTTTATTAACACTATTCGGGGGATACTGAAGAAAGATGTTTGTCATGTTTGTGCTATTAACCAACATACACAAAGCGATACAATAGTCACCAATGTTTTACATAATCCTTGATATAATATTATCTTCAGTCATAAGTTGAAAAATAGGTTTTCTATTCTTAGGCTGCTTCATATATTCATTCTTGTATACACAATACTTATTAATATTTTCTACCCTGTGGTAGCTTGATCGGGTGTGACGAAACCTGCATATTATGGTTTATGAATAACTATTATACCAAAGCTCCCTCATTTTGCCGATTAATTTTGAGAAAAACAGAGAACACAAACGAACCCTCGAAAAAAAAACACTAAACTAAGATGGAAAGTTGATTACTTTATTTTTCCTTCCAAAATGTCTATGGTAAGAAGCAAAATGTTTAATTGAAAAAAGTATATCCGTGCTAACATCGTTTTCCTCCATTTCGAATAAATTCCCTTTAGGTTTTGACAACTACACCTACAGAAGGACGTTTTTAAATATCATTATAATTGATATTTTTCGTCGCCTCAAAAAATGGCAGCAGCACAGAATAGAAGTAAGTAATTTAAAGGAATTCCGTTTCTTCTCCAATATGGATAGTTTGTATAACCTGTTAAAAGAAACAGAAAAGTACTACGCCCAAGTTATTCTAACACATATTTATGTTCGCCCTAAACATGCGATATTATCTTATAACCACATTCAATATCTTTAATATCTGGTCATACGAAAGAATATTCTAATGAACCCCATATGATAAAGCTACTGGATAAACAAACAACAAATCTTTAAATAGTATTCAGTGTTCCACTTTTTAAATCTACTGCATGAAGAAAAATCTTGATAAATTAACATCTGTTACAAAAAGCTAAAATTACATATTGTCATGTTCTAAGTCGAATGGTTCAAACAATTGACTAAAAATACGTAGGTCCTGGGTTCGATCGCCTTGTACTTGAGCAATGCATGTTATCTGGACATTTCCTCTCCACTACAGTAATAAATGGATGCCTAGTAGAATGCGAAAGCCAAAGTGGTTAGTTCAAGATTGTGAGGGTTTGCAAAAGACGGCTGCCTTGAATGCATCTTATAGGAAGTGAAACATGTGCATACGTCTTGAGCGGACTAACCTGAATCCGATGACCTGGATAATATTTATCTGAAGTGCTTAGACATCGTTAGTAGTGTATATTTTATATAAACCCCGTCTTTCTCCGCATTAGCTTCAAGCCATACAGGAATGATTTGTCGATATTTCAAAAAAGTAGACTACTATGTTCATTTGACTCGCTGATTGTTGATTTTTTTTAATCCATTCTCAATTCCCAGCAAATGTAGTTTCTGTAACGATAATTCGATTTGCAGTAAAAACGAATAATCATATATATTTAGCCTGATTCTCTTTCTCCTTGACTCAAGCGCATTATTTTTCTCTTGGTTTATTTTTTCTTAAATTGATATTTACCTTCCAGGACTTATCAGCAAGGACACAAGCCTTCAGTGCCCCATTTGCTACAAGTTTATGGCGGAACCTAAAATGCTTTCTTGTGGTCATACTTTTTGTCTCACTTGCTTGTCAAAGACTGTACGTGAAAACAAACTAAGTTGTGCGCTATGTCGAACTGTCACTGAAGTTATCAATGGTAATGCTGCGACATTGCCTGGCAATCTTGCATTTAGATCAGTGGTAAAAGAGGTAGCAAGCCTAGATGAAAGGTGTGATGTTTGTGACACTATGGGTAAACCAGATCAAATAAGATACTGCCAGGATTGCAAAATCTTTATGTGTTCTGATTGCCTTGTAAAGCATAAGGGGAAGACTGAAAATTATTACCATTCGGTTTATCAAACCAGAAGATCTAAACGTATTTCGCCTTTGAATATTGGATATAGATCTTGCATCAAACATCAGCAACGAACTTGCGAGGGGATATGTGTTAAATGCAATATATATGTTTGTAAAGAATGTTCAGTAATTCACGAAAATGAAGGACATGAAGTCCAAGACTTACTCCAGTATGCAACTACTTTACATGCTACGGCAACTCCACTAAAAAATGACATCAAATTAATAAGAAAAGTATCAAAATCCCGTGTCGAACAATGCGAATATCACAAAGATAAAACAGTCCGACACATCGACTGGGTTATGTCACAAATTAATGACGAATATCAGGCGTCCCTGAAAAAAATAGAAGAGAAAAGATTTTCAAAAATAAAGGCTTGTTCAGATCTCAAAGAAAAAATGTGTAAACTGTCAGAGGACTTAATCGAGCAAAGTAAAAAGTGCAATTCTATTCTGGATCAAGTTAACTATTCTATTCAGGGTGTTTTAGATTCTCCGTTTGGAGATATGCCTGAGCACAGTTTAACGCTGGAATCTTCTCAGTCAAAAATAAGCGATATGGTAGGGGAAATAAATCCAATCGTGCCAATTGCGTTCGAAGACGGAAATATGTTAAACTTTCGGAAGAAGAGCGAATATGAGGACTACGACGTGGTAGAACTTATAAACTATTGTTGGGTAAAAAAATCATTTCCATTGACACAACCTGAAAAGGAAATGGCCTGCATGGACGTTGATTCTGAGGGTAATGTGGTTGTTGGGTATTTTTATGGCGGAATTGAGGTTTTCCCAGTAGCAGGTTCTAAGGGAGTAAGTGTTGACTCTTTGAAGGAAGTACGTGTAATGGCAATGTCATTCGGAAGCGATGGAAATCTTGTTGTTCGAAATATACACAATGAAATTTCTATTTATGGACGCACATTTCAAAGGTGTGGTGCCACATTTGAAACAATAGACCACATAAAGGGGGGAGATGGAGACATAGCCTTGGATAAAAATAATGATATCTACGCAGGTTATAGAATCATCATGGGGATTCACATTTACAGAAAACGAGGTGGAAAAGCATGGCGAGAAATAAAGTGTGATGGCTATATTCCTCAACAAATCTTGGTAATGTCAAACTTGGACATTATAGTTATGAATGCAAAAACTATCAAGATAATTGACGTATGTGGTACGCCTAAATCAGAGATAGTGCGTAAAGGTTTCCTCGGGTATCCCGCCGTTGCGCGGGACGGAACATTGATCATTGCTTGGGTGAATACCAAAGGGAAATCTGTTGAATTAATGAAGTACACACAAGACATGAGGAATAAGAAAACACTTCACTTAGACAATACCATAGATCTCTCAGGAAGACCATGGTACTACTGTAGGGTCATTGATGCTGAAAAAATTGTCTTCTGCTGTCCCAAACAAGTGCATATTTTCAATCTTCATATCAAGCCATTCTACTCGTAATCACATGAAGATCATGGTAATTTAGACATACAATGAGTGTTTATTGATGAAAAGAATTATGATATCCCATGTCTCAGGTCATAGTTCCCGGGTATGTAATTTTTAAGTGTGCATAGTCCTAGTTGTTCTTTAAGCAATGTTTTAAAAGTTTGACAATTTGGAGGCTTTACAATTCACTGTGTTTATTTCAATTCAAATCAATGTATTTATTTGTCCAATGTACTTTCAACATGGATATTTCTTCCGCTCATACTGTACGTAAAATTTAAGGCTCAGGCATATTTTAAAAAGAACAGAAATAGGATACAAAAAACGAATACATTTTGGTAATCATGATAGTGCCGAATAAAGTATTTTTGGTTTTTAGATCATGTATAATGTAATCATCTAACTTCATTAATCTACATCTCAATTCATGTAGCTTTCGCCCTCTCACGTATTAGATCATTCCAATTAAAAATCCGAACATTCAAATTAAACGATCGGTAATAAAAAACACGTTTATGTACTTAAATTACATTTTTAGATTTTTATATTCAGATTGACATAGTAGGTTTGATGATCTTGTTTGCTGCCTTAAATTTAGTGCAATACCATAAACGTACGCATTGGGAAGATAAATATAATTTATAATCTCCCCTTAAGACCCTTGACAAGGGTAAATGTGAGGTAGATTTGTCCAAGTTGAGAATCAATCCCATAAAAGCATTGCAATAACAAATATGTAACTGTCTGTATTATGAAATTACATTTATACTTGTAGGAAACAAGGAAAGTATATTGTTAACTGCATAAGAGTTGTAACAATACATGAAATCGTTATCTTTCAATATGTGCAATATGTTTAATAAGCAAGTCAATGTAAAGAAGCAAACAGAAAAAACAAACATGTAATGATGAAAACGTGGAGACCAGTTTCCTGAATTAGAATGTTGTTATTAGAGCAGAAAAAAGGTGTATTTTATATCTTATTCATTGTATAAAGCCATCACAAGATATTTGTAACCGTATTTTATGCCGTTCCTTAAAGTATAAGTCACTATTTTTGTATAATCTCCTATATGATATCGTATTATAGTCTGTTGAGTAACAAATGTTAATCATGGAGACTCTAGCTGTTGCTTTCCCTTGCTGAAGTATTATGCGCTTTGTTTTCTGTAAACTTAAACCATGCCGCTATTACGTATGCAGTTATAGGTCATTTACCTGTTCTGCTTCCTGCTCTGTCCGGATTTTCTGTTTATCCAGTCATTTATATTTCTTTGCGTATGTTCGTTTTACACATTCCATTTTGACTTTGTTATTGTTATAATTTAAAAATATCAGGTGATTACATATATGATTTAAAGGTACTATAAATTCCAACGGCATTTGAAAGTAAATATTAATTTAGAACTTCCCTTAAAAAGGGGACTTGAAAATGTCTATAAGTGGAAAAATAACGACTATAAGTTGTCGAATCGACTTAAGAGTGATGTTCAGACCATTGTACCGAATGGTCGTACGTTTTATATTTAATTTTGGCCATTACAAGAAGTGGGTTATTGATGTAGACAAATGATCATGTACCCTTTACAGCTCATTTTTTGTGTGCTATTACCAAAGGTATACAAGCCAGTCAGTCACTCAATAGAGTCTGACACTGACATTGAAGTTTAGCAAGTAAATGGGTTTCCTTGCATAATTTGAATATTAGGACACTGTTTACGTTTAAATTTTACAGATAGGACATACGTGACATATTTATAATTCTTGCACAGTTCTACATAATTTGATGCTGGCTGCAAAAGGGACATTGTATCTTTTAATTATTGATTTGTTTGCCATCTGTGATATATATTAAATAAAAAAGATGAAATGAAAGCAATTCTTCTAAATTTGTCAGCAAATAAGCTTAGGTTGTCTGAACTCCTAATAAAGGAAAAACAAACATTTAAAAATTGTATATTTGCAAATTCTTAACAGTGGCGTATAACTATAAACAAGATCACGGATAGAATAGGTAACGAAAATGGGTAAGAGGTAGTGAATAGTATGTATACCTATGGATTGGAGAAAGACAGATCAGGTGGAATAAAAGGAGAATGAGAGTGACATAACATGAGTAAGAGAAAGAGAAAACGAAAAAACAGGGAAAGTGACAAAGAACAAGAAAGACAAATTGATACAGTCATATGGAGAGAGATAGAGAGAGAGAGAGAGAGAAGAGAGAGAGAGAGAGAGAGAGAGAGAATAAAGAGAGGGGTGGGAGATGAAGGGGAGATAGGAGGAGACGGATCAAGAAAGAGGGGTCGAGTATAGGGCACGGGAGGGAGTGAGAATGGGGAACTTGTTGAGAGTGACAAAACAAGAGAGAGAGAGAGAGAGAGAGAGAGAGAGAGTTTTTGAGGGGCGCCAATGGGAAACATGAAGCAACCGATAGAGAGTGAGAGAGAGAGAGAGAGAGATAGAGAGAGAGAGAGAAGGAAGAAATGAAAGTCAGCTCACCTCCCTGTATAAAAACCTCACTCCCTTCTTGCCCTTCTTTCTTTCTTCCCAACCCCCCCCCCTCCCCCTCTCTCTCTCTCCCTCTCTCTCTCTCCCTCTCTTTCTCGCTCTAGCTATTTTTGTTATCAATGTTTTTTAAATATTTTTTAAAATTAATTAATAGACTCCATCCTCTGTTACACTATGATTTCTTGTTCTCGTCCATAAACTCTCCCTCTGAATTTCTCTCTCTCTCTCTCTCTCTCTCTCTATTTCTATATCTCTCTATTTTTGTTATCACTGTTTGTTTAATACTTTTTTTTAAATGAATGAATATATTACATCTTCTGCTACACTATGATTTCTTTTTCTCGTCCATAAACTCTCCCTCCGTACCATTCTCACTCTCTCTCTCTCTCTCTCTCTGTCTCTCTCTCTCTTTCTCTCTCTCTCTGTCTCTCTTGCAAAAAAAAATGGCGCCATCTTCAGTACAGATGTTAAACTAAATCGTTTAATACACATAAATATTTGACTTACTGAAATTAAAGATAAAGTTGAGTTCTGGTCATGCAATTTCATTGTGAAAGAAACGTTGTGGAGTCGATCAGAACACTTGGTATGTACTGCAAGGTTCTGGAATCGAATTAATAAGAAAATCGGCCCAGTCTTGGTAAAGTTACAAGCATTGAACAGAAAACGATGTATATGGGACTACACGAACGTGTGGCATAAAAATCTGTCCCGATTTATATGCTGTTACTTGTCATGATTAGAATATTAAGGCATTTGAAGAGCCATGCTTTTCAGGGAACATTTTTTATCTGATGTTCTTCCACATTTGTATAATACAATGATAACGCTCACAAATTATTTTGCATCTCTTCCCAGAACTCAACCTTCTCTTTAATGACAGAGGAATTTTGACCAATACCAGTACTATTCCTCGATATTTCAGATCCTTTCAGTTGAGCAGCTCAACTTTATCTTTAAGCTCAGTAATTCAAATATTCATGTACATTAAACTATTTGGTTTAACTTCTTTACTGAAGATGGCGCCATTTTTGTTTTGCATTCAATGGTGTGGAGGCTCCTGTCACTCTTCCGGCCCATATCACCCTCACTCCTCTTACTCTCACTCTCCTTTTATTTATTTATTTATTTTCTTTTTTTTTATTGATGTTTTCTTTCGTTCATTCATCTGCATGCCATTCGGGGGGGGGGGGGGCATGTGCTACCTTTACCAATGTAGCTACGCGTTCCTTATTATGCGTATAGTAAATTACATGATTTCTTTATCATTTTATATTTTTTTACCCAATATTCCATGAACATATGATTTTATTGAAAACAATTTACTTATTACAAAAATAATGTTTCTACAACGAGGTATGCTTGTAAGTCATTTCCTTGGAAGAGAGAATAATTTTTTTATTCAATCCACTAATCCCAAACAAAATCCACGCTGGTATGTAGCACAGTCATGGCATCAAACGATAATATATATAATAATGCTTTCCTGAAAGCTCTGTCAAGTCTTATTCGAATTCACATACAAAATGTGAGTTAACAAGACCATCGACGAATGGGAGGGGTGAAGCAAGGGGGACATATCATCTTCTTTTCATGCTGTATCCCCCCACCCCCCCAAAAAGGGGAAAACATATATATATCTTTCTCTCTTGATATTCCCCCTTTTTTCGTCTTTGCCATTGCCTTGGCGCCAGGAGTTTTATGTATGTCGGTTGTTTCAAAGGGCCGAAATAAAATCCTATCATTCTTTAATTGTATATTGTATGTTGAAAATATGTTTTTACGAAAAACTGGGTGTAGATCACCAGTTTCTTTAAATGTGTCTTGGATAAAATTGAATTTTTGGTCACTTTTAATCTTCGATCTGACGAAATCGAAAAATGAGGAGGCGCCATTGACGACCGCTGTAGAGATTATGAAATAAAAACGTGAATACCAAGTTTAGAGCTTTTAACTAGCTTTACCCTGAATATCAGTGCCTCGATGGTGTATGCCTTTCGTCGTTATGCCAGGGTCTTTTATATCTGTTTATCTTATTGATATCTACTTGTGCATCATGCAAAGGAATTGTGTGTCTTATTTCGTGGAATTCTTCTCAGAACTACACTCTCCACTCTTCGAATTTTGTTATTCTGCACACAACCTTCCCGAGGTCGAACTTTTCTTCGTTCCTTTCATTTACTCCTTTCATTTGACCTCATTTATTGTGTACAAACACGGAAAAAAGGAGGGAAAAAGTTTTTTTTTAATTTTTTTTTTTAAATCCTTCCTTTATCGACTCTTTCCTTTTATTTCTCTTTCCTTATATTTTCCTCGACTCCTCTATACTCCCCTCAAGCGATTTCTTTTGACGAAAAAATATAATACATGGTTTCTTGTTCGTAATTTTTTGGAAGGTGATGTGCTGATTGAGCTGTGCTAATCGTATACGTGTTAAACAAAAGCAAAAATGTATCACATTGGTGAATGAAAGGTGGAAATTTACGAACACATTTCGGTATCGAAATGCAAAATACGTGAATAAATTGATAAGATTCAACAACCTAAGCGTTAAAAAAATAAAACCTGATGGTGTCAATATTTCGGTCTTTTTCTACCTATTGTGCATAACTGTTAATAATATGACGTTTTCAACTTGCGTTTACTTTAAACACATGTTTATTAAACTACGTTGGAAGCTCATTCCTGGGGGAGGGTGCTGAAGGGGGCACACGCCCCGAAATTACTTAAATGGGGAAAGTCTAATCTCGCCCGACCCCTCACGAAGGAGAACAATATATGTAATTAATGAGAATTACAACAACGTAAAACAGGCTTTCTATTGCTCTGCATTGCATTTCAA